GGTTCTTGGAAACTGCAACTTTAAAGGAAATAAGGTGTAACAAAACCAATTTTACCATAGGCTAATTGACATAAATGAGTTAAGTTCCTGTGGCATATTCCTGGTCACAAAAACATCACCCAGCTTCTAAATAAAGACTAAAACACTTGTAATACTAAACGTTGAAATATGTATGAGCTTTATATAAATTTAAGAAAGATTAATAGAAACAAGGTAACATTTACCCACTCATTCCCCACTCAGGGTTGAGGGTGGCCAGAGCCTATATCAGCAGCTCAGGGGCAAGGTGGGAGCCACCCTAGACAGGATGCCGTCCCATTGCATGGCAGGTGCATGCACAGACGCGCACACACACACACAGGGACCATGTGGATATGCCAGTGAACCCAACCCATGTGCCTTTGGGATGTGGGAGGAAAGCAGAATAACCTGAGAAAACCCACGCAGACAGGGGAAGAACACACAGATTCCACATGGACAGTGGTGCCGACCAGGAATTGATTTTTTTTTTTTTTGAGGCAGAGTCTAACTTTATCACCCAGGCTAGAGTGCCATGGCGCAGTCTTGCCTCACTGCAGTCTCCGCCTCCCAGGTTCAAATGATTCTTCTCCCTCAGCCTCTTGAGTAGCGGGGATTACAGGTGGCCACCACCACACCTAGCTAATTTTTGTATTTTTAGTAGAGACGGGGATTCACCATGTTGGTCAGGCTGGTCTCGAACTCCTGACCTCAGGTGATCTGCCCACCTTGGCCTCCCAAAGTGTTGGGATTACAGGTGTGAGCCACCACGCCAGCCAGAACTACATTCTTAAAATAGTATTGGTAATTATATTGTGTAAGCATATTCTGTTCTTCTAAAATTCAGAATATGAATATGTCAGGCTATACAGTACACTTTTGTTCCTTATGAAATGATTTTAAACTAGAAAAGTACCTTAAAAATGCTAATCATGTTAGTCATATGTTGCTTAACAATGGGACTGCGTTTTGAGAAATGCATCATTAGGTGATTTTGTTGTGCAAACATCACAGAGTGTACTTAATGTAAGCTTAGATGGTATAGCCTACTATATACCTAGGCTGTATGGTATAGCCCATTGCTCCTAGGCTACACACCTGTATAGCATGTTACTGTACTGAATACTATAGGCCAGTGGTTTCCAACCTTTTTGGCATCAGTGACCAGTTTTATGGAAAACAGTTTTTCCATGGACCGGGGTTGGGGGGAGATGGTTTCAGGATGATTCAAGCGCATTATATTTATTGTGTTCTTTATTTCTATTACTATTACATTGTAATATATACAGAATTAATTACACAGCTTACCATAATGTAGAATCAGTGGGAGCCCTGAGCTTGCTTTCCTGCAGTTAAATGGTCCCATCTGGTGGTCATGGGAGACAGTGACAGATCATCAGGTGTTAGGTTCTCATAAGGAGCACACAGCCTAGATCCCTAGCATGCACAGTTCACAGTAGGGTTTGCACTCCTATGAGAATCTGCCGCTGCTGATCTGACAGACCAGGAGCTCAGGCGGTCATGCGAGCTATGGGGAACAGCTGTAAACACAGATGAAACTTCGCTCATTCACCTACTGCTCACCTCCTGCTGTGTGGCCCAGTTCCTAACAAGGCACGGACCTGTACTGGGTTGGGGACCCCTGCTATAGGCAATTGTGTTACTAATTGTGTATGTAAGCATATCTAAGCATAGAAAAGATACAGTAAATATACAGTATAAAAATGGTACACCTGTACCATTAATAGAATTTGCAGAACTGGAAGTTGCTCTGAGTGAGTCAGAGTCTAGGATAATATTGCACACTACCGTAGACTTTATAAACACTGTACACAAAGGCTACACTACATTTATTAAAAATTTTTTCAAGTGTAAATCTTTGCTTACTGTAACCTTTTTGCTGTAGAAACTGCCTTTTTAAAAAAACTTTTTGACTCTTGTAAATAACACTTAACTTTAAAAAAACGCATTGTACACAGTTGTATGAAAATATTTTCTTTCCTTGTATCCTTATTCTATAAGCTTTTTTCTATTGAATTTTTTTTTTTCAATATTTTTTTGTTAAGAACTAAGGCACACTCTCATTAGCCTAGGCTTGCACAGGGTCAGGACCATCCATATCACTTTCTTCCATCTCCATCTTGTCCCACTGGAAGCTCTTCAGGGACAATAACATGCACGCAGCTGTCACCCCCTATGATAACAATGCCTTCTCCTGGGATACCCCCTGAAGGACCTGTCTGAGTTTGTTTTATAGTTACTATTTTTTTTTTTTAAATAAGTAGATGGGAGTACATTCTAAAAATTTTTTTTATTTTTTTGAGATGGAGTTTTGCTCTGTCACCCAGGCTGGAGTGCAGTGGTGTGATCTAGCTCACTTCCATCTGCTTTCTGGGTTCAAGCATCTCTCCTGCCCCAGCCTCCCAAGTAGCTGGGATTACAGGTGCGCACCACCACTCCCTGCTGCTTTTTGTATATTTAGTGGAGATGGAGTTTCTCCATGGTGGCCAGGCTGGCCTCAAACTCCTGACGTCAAGCGATCCGCCTGCCTCAACCTCCCAAAGTGCTGGGATTACAGCCATGAGCCACTACCCCCATCTCTAAAATTTAAATAATTAAAAAGTACAGTGCGGGCCAGGTGCCGTGGCTCATGCCTGTAATCCCAGCACTTTGGGAGGCCAAGGCGGGCGGATCACTTGAAGTCAGGAGTTCCAGATCAACCTGGCCAACGTGACGAAACCCCCTCTCTACTAAAAATACAAAAATTAGCTGGGCGTGCTGGTATGTGCCTGTAATCCCAGCTACTTGGGAGGCTGAGGCAGGAGAATCGCTTGAACCTGGGAGGCAAAGGCCACAGTGAGCTGAGATCGCGCCACTGCACTCCAGCCTTGGCAACAGGGTGAGACTCGATCTCAAAAACAAAAAAAGTGGCCGGGCGCGGTGGCTCAAGCCTGTAATCCCAGCACTTTGGGAGGCCGAGACGGGCGGGTCACGAGGTCAGGAGATCGAGACCATCCTGGCTAACACAGTGAAACCCCGTCT